GACATAAGGTAGCTGAATGGATAAGAAAACAAAACCCATACATATGCTGCCTATAAGAGACCTACTTCAGATCAAAAGATACACACTGAAAGTAAAGGGATGGAAAAAGATATTTCATGAGGATGGAAACAGAAAAAAAGCTGGGGTAGCAATATTTATATCAGACAAAATAGAATTTAAAACAAAGGCTATAATAAGAGACAAGAGGGACATTACATAAAGGGATCAATCTAACAAGAGGATAAAACCCTTGTAAACATTTGTGCATCCAACCTAGGAATAGCTAAATATATAAAGTAAATATTGACTGACGTAAAGGAAGAAATCAATAGAAATATAGTCATAGTAGGAGGACTTTAACACCCCATTGTCACCAGTGGACAGATCTTCCCGACAGAAAATCAACAAAGAAACAGCAGCCTTACATGACACACTAGATCAGATGGATTTAATTGACATTTTTAGAGCATTTTACCCCCAAAGCTGTAGAATATACAGTTTTTTTCAAGTGCACATGGAACACTTTTCAAGATAGACCATGTGTTAGGTCACAATAAAAGTCTCAATAAATTTACTATATCAAGTGTCTTCTCTGACCACACTGGTATGAAACAAGGAATGAATTACAAGAAAAAACTGATGAACACACAAACACATGGAGGCTGAATAACGTGTTACTAAATAGTGAGTGGGTCAGCAATGAGATCAAGGAGGAAATCAAAAGCTATCTCAAGACAAATGAAAATGAAAACACAACAAACCCAAATCTACGGGACACAGCAAAAGCAGTCCTAAGAGGGAAATTCATAGCAACACAGGTCTGTTTCAAGAAACAAGAAAAATATCAAATAAACTAACCTTAAGGGCCATCCTAGTGGCTCAGTTGGTTAAGAGCTCGCTCAAGAGTTTGAGCTCTGAGCAACAGCNCATCCGGCTGCCTGTTGGCAGCTCACAGCCACTCAGCTCAAGGTACTGTGTTCAATCTTAGATGCGGGTGGGCATAGCCCACCATCCCATGCGGGAGTCGAACCAGCAATCTTGTTGTCAGGAGCATTTGCTCTCACCAGCTGAGTTATCCTGCCACCTGTTGGCAGCTCGGTGGCAGCTCAGCTCAGTGCAGCTCACTTGCCCATGTGGGAATCGAACCAGTGACCCTGTTGCTCAGGGCTCATGCTCTTAACCAACTGAGCCACTCGGCCAGCCCCCAGATAAGCTTAATTTTGTTGAACACATTATTCATCTTAGTTATGTTGTTGGAGCCTCTATAACTTCTCTTTTCCATAGTGCCTCCTCTAATATCTCAATATCCCTTTTCAGTCGTAGAGTATGGGTAAGACATTCCATTCTGAAATTGAGTGTCATTTTCTGATGGGTTCTGGAAGTTGTTTTTTTTCTCCCCAGGCAGGTGCACCTTGGTAAAGATCCTATGTCTTTTAAATTTAGAAAAGACCTTGCTGAAGAGTGGCAAAGAGTAAACACCAAATACAAGGTCAGAATTACTGCTAATTTGATATCATTTATTTCATGAACTATTTTGAATTCCTACTATATACAAGATGCCATATCAGGAGAAAGAAAAATTATAGTTAAGTTGGGAGGGGAGGAGGCTGATGACAAGTTAATTGTTAACTATAAACCAAGGCTGGCTGTATATGTCACGAGAGACCTCTACTAAGTGTTGGAGGGATTCAGAAGCCAGAGAGGAGAGATAACTCATCTAACTGGAAAGCTTCCTGGATGACATGGTATAATTTTGAAAAGTCATAAAGAGGACAAAGGCATTCAGTTGAGAGGGAGGAAATACCTCAAGTCTGGTCTGGAATTCTGGGTGTGCAGTGCACCTGTCTCATGATCTGCAGAGCATGAAGGTAAGAGACCTAAAGACAGTGACTGGGAGCCATGCCAGAGCCAGATCCAAACATTCAAAGGAGCTGAGCAGAGAGGGGAAAACTGATTGAAGGGAGGGTGGTCATGTCTGAGTCACCAAGGCAGCACCTGTAGGTTCAGGGAGGGGAGAGCAGAGACGGGAACTGTGGGACTGTACAACACCCCTCGGCTCACCGTGGCATGAGACATTGTTATGTGCAGGGAAGGGGCAGAGAACACTGGGGACAGGTCCATAGTGGCTGAAGCACAGGACACACAGGGGCCAACGGAGATAGGACTCGGCTGGAGCTCCATGTCACAGGGGCTTGGACTTGATGGGTAGGACTTGTGGAATCATCACTTACTGTATTAGTCAGCTGGACCTGCATCACAAAATGCCACAGACTGGATGGCTTAAATAACAAATTTATTATAACAAATTTATTTTCTCACAGTGCTGGAGGCTGGAGGCCAAGATCAAGGTGTTGGCAGGGTTGGTGCCCCCTTAAGTCTCTCATCTTGGCTTATAGATGGCTTTCCCGGTGCCTTCACATTGTCTTCCTTCTGTGTCTAAATTTCCTCCTCTTGTAAGGACGCCTGTCACATTGGATTCGGGCCCACTCTAATGACCTTGTTTTAACTCCATTACCTCCTTAGCCAGTGCCTCCTGGCTAAGGGTTTGGATTTCAACATATAAATTTTGGAGGAGCACAATTCAGTCATAACACACATATTTAAGCTTGAGAGTGGGAGTTTCCTACACTCAGTGCTACACACAGTGGCAGTACTGGGTAGGAGCAGTTGGGAGAAAAACATGTGTCTTGTTAGATATGAATATATTTCTCATACAGAATACATTTTTCTTCCTGGATTTGGAGTCCAAATCGGATATTTGAATAAATTTGTCCTTTTTTATTTTTCATAAGACAAACAAAAGAACATAAAATCATGACATCAGGAAATCTTAGCATTTAGGAAAGGCACATATTAGATTGGCATTTAAATTTAGTTTGGTGTATTGGCCAGATCCTTTGCACATGATTTTAAAAACAAAACATCAAGTGTTCTCTGTCAACCCCACAGTGGAATATTTTCTGGCTGTTTTTAAGATGAAGGTGATACAGACATGCCTCAGCCAGACCAATATGAGAGGTGAGTCTGTAATTGCCAGCATTTGGTTGACAGACAAACCCAACCATTTATTCATCTGGCAAAGTGAATGCCCATTGTGTGTAAGATTCTGTGCTAGTGAATAAGCCACAGTCTCTGCCCTCAAGAAGGTCACCATCCAGAGGGGGCACAGAAACTTTGAGAGATGCCATAGAATGTGCCAAGTTTAGTGACAGAGCTGGAACCTGTAGATAAATTGGAAATGAAGGGTAAGGAAAGGAAGAAGATAGAATGGTTCTTAGGTTTTCAGCTTGGGTGCAGGTTGGTGGTTTTAACTGAGATCTCAAATATGGAAGAAAAGTTGGTTAGGGGGAAGATGAAAAGTTTAGTTTGGGACATGTTACATCTGGGGTGACTGGAAGGCCTCCAGGTGGCAGCTGAAGGTACAAGTCTAAGCTGGAGACAGATTAGAGGTGAACATCAGAGAGTCGAGATTGAGACCACGGAACAAATGTGGTGCCCTGGGGAAAGTAAANATTTTTTAAGGCAGTAGAAAAATTTTGGATGTTCTTTTCACTTTTAAATATGAAACATACTCATTTCTCCCACCATTAATTTTTTCTAAGCAGTAAGCTATGCCTGCCTGGTACACCTTTTATAGATGTTAATGCCTGACAATCATCTGTGGCCAAATTCTGTTCACGAGCTGTGTTAACTGGCATCCCTGTTAATGGAAAAAGCAGTGTACTCCGGTTGCCTAGGCTACAGGTCCTGTGTGCTTTATGTATTAGGCCTGTGCTGGGAGCACTTAAAAATAAATCAGCCAGGTCAAGGCAAACATTAATCCTTGCTCCAGAGCTTGTTCTTATTTTTTTAAGTTAATGAGCTGGAGCAGAAGCAATAGAATGTCCTTAGTGAATGTCCCAGTGAATTGCAGATTAAATAGGTGTATTTTCTGACTAAGTAGGTGGTCCAGGTATTGGACTCTAGGGCACCAAGGTTTCTATTCAGCTGATCGCAGGTTGACTGATAGACTAGAGCTCTGGCTTCTGCTTCACTCTTCCCTGTGGCGGTATCTCAGGTCACTAATGAGCGTTATTTAGAGATTTTTGACTTCTGCTGTCAGGAAATTGACAGATACTTATTTCTGAAGCACTGTGCTAGGGATCCAGGAAGATAAAAGAGTCTGGGGCCTGTTTTCTGCCTTAGGGGCTTGCAATCTAGTTAGGAACTTAAAAACTTTGAAAGGCAACAATTCAAACAGTAGATGAGTACATAGGGCTGACAGAAGTTTAGAGGAGTTTTAGTTCCTACGGATGGAGAATGTGCAAGGCCTCTGCAGGGAGAGGAAAGACCAGATGCAAAAGGAATCATCTAGAAAGCAAAGCAAAGAGGGAAGTCAGAACATAGAACATTAGCCTTTCTCACACTTAGTACGTTGATCCTCCCCCCACATCCCCCTCCCTTATTTTCTCCCTTTTATGTTTTTTTCCCTGTTTGTTGAGCACTTACTGTGTTCCAGCTCCAATGGCACCAGAGATACAGGCAGGAATAAGGCATGGTGGGATATTTGACTTTGAAGAGAACAGTAGTCCATCCCGAAGATTTGAAAAGAATCAATATAGGGAACTGAATTATTTGGGAAGAAACTTTTATATGTGTTCCTAGCTGTTCCTTGTTGCTCACAGCATTAACATTGACATCTGGTAATTAGTTTAAAGAATATAGTTCTAGGGATTCATCTCTGATTCACTAATGCTGATTGATATGTATATGTTTATGTAACTGACACAATCAGATAATTGTTATAAAGGATTAAGTTAGTAGTTGGTAAATAATATCAGTGTAAATACTCAGAAGTTGATTCATGTGTATTTAATGAAAAGACTGTATAAATAGAATAGAAATATTTTTATTTATCTTGGGAAGAATGTGTGTGTGTGTGTGTGTGTGTGTGTGTGTGTGTGTTTTACTGGACTTTGCAGTAGGGAAAGTATCATGTTTTCTCACGTCTTTCCTCTCAGGAATAATTCCAGCGAATGGGAAGATGAATGTGACTGTGAAGTTTACACCCTTTCAGTATGGGACGGCACAGATAAAAATGCAGTTATGGATTTCACAGTTCAACTCTCAACCCTACGAATGTGTCTTTACCGGAACATGCTACCCTAACATGGCTTTAAAGTATGGCAATTTTGGAATGTCTTAGTTTATTCTTAAAACTTAAAAAAAAAATCCAAGTCTTCTTTCCACTCTGTTTTTGTTCTTTCTTGTAACAGAATGCCATCAAAACCTTACTTAAAATACATTTTAAAATATAATGGTAATGCCTAGGATATCTCTAATGTTTGTAGCAGTAGTTGCTTATGCCAAGAGGGGACGAGTTGACTGAGAAAAAAGGGCTTGGGGAAGATACCTTCTTTCACTGATGACTATTGGTGTGCTGTTTGAATTTTTGATCATATGTATGTATGACTATCTACTAAAAAATTTAAATCATAAGGCCAGAGAAACACAACTCTTTTCAAAGTTTCAGTATCACATTATGATTAATTGAGAACCTGCTCTGTGCAGTGTCTGTTGCAAAGCCCCATAGGAAATGGTCCACGCCCTGAAGATACCCACAATAGAGGAGCTGAAATGC